GATACAGAGGCGATGAGTGCACCATTGGGAGACACGAAATAACAAGTTAGGGATAGATTGTCTTGGAGAAAATTTATCTCTGTGGTCACTAGAACTTGAAAATGACTTGATGGCACATAATCAGTTTGTTAAAATTAAATGAAGGATAGTTAAATTAAGGCCAGCCTCTCTTTAGTCATCATTAACTTCAGCATCATTAGTAAAATAGGAAGAATTTATACCCTGTAATGATGAACATGAACCCTTGTGTGCTGGCCCACAAGTACAATGAAGTCTTTCTGGGGCAAAGCAACAATACAATATGAGAAATGTGCGTGAATAAAAATTCAACATACTATATTTGTCCACTGTTCTTAATATGGAAAAGAAAAGATGTAGCACAAGAAAAGCACTTAATGCATTCTGCCAGAGAAAGCAGCTTGGCAGTATTAAGGGACCTTTGTATGCTGAGCTTTACCTGTGTTTTTCATCCCTGGAACAGCAAAAAGAATGAAAAAAGTATAATTTACAATGTCATCATTCATATGCCCTTCCAAGGTACAGAAGTGCAAGAAACAGTAATCGATCAGCGGATCATCTTTTTAAAGACTGGGTTAGCCTCTCCTAAATTGGTGCCTTTCAACTGACGATTAGGACAATTTATTACAAGAGATTACCAGTATCATTACTGAGGTGCAGTAGGTGTGAATGCCTTTTGATTTCTATTGATTTCTTCATGAGGTTTAAGAACGATTCATTGTAGCGGCAGAGCTTGCTGGGTAGGGAATGAAACATATAATTGATGCTGCTCACTGACAGTAAACAAACTTTACTAGATGAACTGCTACTATAAGTTATGAATCTTAATCTGATCATAGTTCTGAGGACAATTTCACAAAGATTGTGCCCATCCACCTTCAAACCTTGAATGATAGTTGTATTTAGCAATCCTATTCATTGAACTCTAGCATGTAAATAATATACGTTACAGCCAGAGCAATGCTCTCTTGCTGACTTTAGTTCATAATGGGCAAGTTGTAGCCATTCAGATAATGTCAGTCTACGACGCTCATATTCAACCCATGCTGCCTGGGAGAGATGGGGGCATAACTTCAGTACTATCTGGAAGCCACAAGCTCTGAGCACGCATTGTTCTGAGAGAGATACACACACACACACACACACACACACACACACACATAGATACTTCTTGTAAACAAGATTAGGGGAAATAATATTTCTTGGAAGTCCAGACTTCTTTAAACAAATATTTTGTCAGTTTTTTCCTCTGTTTCAGTAGTGGTATTTGGAAGCTGCAACGAAAGGTTTTAGTAGGGAATATGTTTCCCTCGTTGTCAGTATTAGTGTTGGTACTTTAAAATTCTTTTTAACATTTCTTCATTTTGTTCACTTTAGAGGTGGCCGTGGGGATCGAACAGGTCGGTATGGTGCTGTTGAGCAGATTCAGGATGAAAGTTCAGAAGGGCGGAATCAGAGGGACCATGACTACAGAGATATGGATTATCGATCCTACATGAGAGATTTCAACAGCCAGGAACCTGCTAATGATTATGATGATTCCTCTGAAGAACACAGTGTGGAGGTAAGTTAAGAGTAAAGTCTCCTTCCAGTCAAGCTCGTCTCCTATTGATTTCATGGTCACAGCCATGTAGTTTTCTCAGCAACAATAAGGTAATGGCTTTTCTGAGCAACTGAATAACTCTGAGCCTTTGACTAACTGCTGCCGTATGGGTAAGAATCCTTTAGGCTTATGGTTCAGAACTTCTTTTCATCTTTTAGAATCCCTAAGGAAATTCCATGCCATTCAAAGTGCAGCTGATTGGGGAGGGCTATTGCAGGCTGTATGAAGAAATCATGTAGGACTATATGCAAAATAATGGAAAGAGAGACTGGAATTGGGCTTGTAGATAACTGTTCGTTCATAAAATATTGTATCCATTTGGCAGAATGCTTGGAGAGCAGCCACGTGATGGTATTGTGGTTGCCTGTACATTGCTAGACTTGGCCTGCAAGACTGGGAACTTCCTTGTCTAAGTCAGTCTTGGCTTCCACCCTGGTGAGCTGTCGTCTTCTGTGTTACTGTTGCCTAGGATTCTTATGAGGCCTCCTCAGGATCAGAGACACAACACAGAAAGCGAGATAGCCCAAATGAGCATTTGGGATTTCCTGGTGATGGCGATTACCGGGACCAAGACTATCGAACTGAACAAGAAGAAGAAGAACAGAAGGCTAGCAGTATCATTATGCTGAGGATGTTGCCTCAATCTGCCACTGAGAGTGATGTAAGTTGGTTGCTTGGGCTAAAAGGCACTTTGGGATCTTTGATTCAGGAATGGAGAAGCTGTGGCCTCAAATGTTACTGAACTCCATTGGGATGATGGTTGGGGTTACTGGCAGTTGTAATTGAGCAGCATCTGGAGAACAGCCCATACAAGAATTCATTAGCATTCCCTACTTCTTTCAGTGACTGCTATGTTAAAGCTTCCTGTTACTGGCATTATTAACAGTCTCTCTGCATCTGTAGATCCGGGCCCAGCTGCAGGCACATGGATTCCAGCCCCGTGAGGTGCGGCTGATGCGAAATAAAGCCTCAGGTGAGCTCCTGTTCACAGTTTTTTCTACTCCTTTCTCTTGATATGGCTGTAATGTTTCAACTACCATTTGACACACTGCAAACTAGAGTGTGGTGTGCTATGCATGTGTGCATGTGGAGCAGTTTTGCCCTGTGGCATAAAATATGCAATTGTAGTTTCTGCTGTACTGTATTTAGGGTCTTCCAATCAGTGATAAGGATAAGTCAGTCTTCCAGATGTTAGCAGTGGATTCAGAAGTAGCCCTTTAAGTGTTATTGTCTGTTATCAAAATCCCATAAATGTGAGCCTTAGTGGTTCTTCTGCTGTCTGTGAGAATGGCCTGAAAAAGTAGCAGAAGATGTGGCCTGCCATTTCCAAGTTTCACTGCATTCTGCATAAGTGTGAATCTTTGGAGGTTTAGCAGTTCAGTATTGCTTTTCGTATTAAGATGAGTTCTTACTTGTTCTCTATCTTTCTTACTTGGCCTCTCTCTTTGAGGTAACAGACACGCATACATGGCAAAGGATGAAGACAACCCTTTTGGTTATATAATGCACTTTCTGTTTGGCCATATTTTATCAGCTATGTTGGCGTTCCTTTTTAGATCTTTGCAGCCTAAATTAGACTCTGTTTTAAGATTGATACTGATGAAGCAGATATTAGGGCAAGTATCCAACTTTTGATTCCACCAAGTTAACTATAATCCTCCAGGCACTTGTGATTCACCAAGGACTTAATAAACCTCCTGGCTTTTTACTGCCTTTTTTTGTGATGGGATAGAAGAATTGTCAAGCACCTGTGAACACAGTACTTGATTAGTGAACTTGTTTGGTTTAATAGACCATAAATTGTGCCAGGCTACATTAAGGAAGACAGGTTGCCAACAAGTTGGATAGGTATGGTATATGCAAGTATAATAAGAGATCTCTTTAGTTTGCTCCAAGACAAAATGATCTAATACTGTTCTGGGAATAAAGTAAGTTGTTTAATCAAGCAGGTAAGTATACTTCTTCTTGCCAAGGTTATTCCCTACCTATCACACACACTTGCAGGCCCTGAGATAGGGCTGTATACCTTTTCTTTTCTCCCCCCTTCCTTTTTTTTTAAAGCAAGGCTTATGTTTTTGGTTATAGTCCTCTGTATCTGCCCTTTGTTGTACAAGGCCTGAAGTGGACTGGCAGATACTGCAAGATGGAGGGTACAGAAAGGCACCCTGCTTCTATGGGCAACCAGAGGCTAAGAAAAGGAAATTACAATGCAAAATGAATTTTACATTTTCACAAGGACTGGAACTGCAGACTTTGAGAAAGAGCCCTAAAGAAGTGTAGTCTCTTGAACGTTCCCATTCAGTGGACTGGTCTTGCCTATGTCAGTTCGGTTTCCTTTAAATATTTTATCTTAATTCCAGTGCTACTAAGGAAGAAAGTGGGAAAGCTGGCTGAAATCAGTGCCTCTTCTTTGGATTTTTAGTAAACTCTCTCAGTCTAGGCACATGATATTAGTTGAGTTTATGTTAAATTTATGCAGGCAATATTTCTTTATCATTCGTTTTTGCAATAGAAAGTGACCATTATTGTTTCTGTTGGACAGATGGAGCAATGAGATTGAAAGAGTGATTGACTCAGAGTCATCAAATGAATGTTAAGGTTAAGCTGGAATTTAAATCCAATTCTTCCAGATTCAAGTCCAACAGACTGCAGCTTTTTATCTTTGCTTGGTCCTGTTCTGTTATGTGGGGTTATTTTAACCCTTCCCAAAGCTAAACAGGGAAGTCGGTAGGACAAGTACCATACTATTACAATAAGAAGTAGCCTCCTGCATAGATTCTTTGAATCAGCTATTGCTTAAAACATGAAAAAGGTGTTAGATAAATGAATCTGTTAGTGCTAGAAATAGATCTCTTCAAAGCCAACATTCTCTCTCCAGCCCTTATCCTTTTGGAAATACAAGCTGACTGATAAGCACTGATCTGGGAGTTGGGACACCACAGTTCTCTTCTCAATTCTAGGAAAAATAAACAACTGGATGGTTTGAGTAGCAGTGAATAGCATCTCTCCATCAAAAATACTTTATTGGAATGATCAGAAGAGATGCTGGTGACCAGCATTTGAGTCTGCACCACTCCATTTTGCAACTAGGGTGCCTTTTCTGTGCCTTCCCACTCTACCTTATTTTCTCCCCCGCGCCCTGCCCTTGCCCCATTTGGTACAGCGACAGGGGTGCGTGATGTTGGCTGGATCTGTTGACTAACACACTGCGTCTGTATCTGAATGCTGTCCTCCAGGTCAGAGCCGGGGCTTCGCCTTCGTCGAGTTTAATCACTTGCAGGACGCTACACGATGGATGGAAGCCAATCAGGTTGCTTTGCTGCACTTGAAACCCACAAGTACTGCTACTGTTAATGACCAATCTGAACACCTGGTTCATGTGACAAATTCTAGATGCCTTCCCCTTAGGAAATCCCTGAACTGGGATTAGGAAGAGCAGCTAGATCTGAAAGTCAGATATCTTGCCTTGTTTACAATTCCAGGAATCAAAACAGAGTACTGGGAACTGGGTGTTTGACTTCTGGGGTCTACCTATGACCTGAAAAAAGGGGTTCAAGAAAACAGGGCTTTGAAGTGATATTAAAAATTCAGGCAGTAAATCAAAACTGGATTTAATTTCCACCATGGGGACGACAGTGGGATCTAACAAGTTGAGCAGGGGAACTTAGGTGTTGATCCATAATAATGGGGATTTTGGGAGTTCCTAGCAGTAAGAAATAAGGGCTTGGGAAATCATGAGTCCTGTCTGTGTTCTCCTGCTCTGGAAATATGCATGCTCAGTGTGACAAAGGCTCTGCTCTGGCAGTTTATAGCTGTAACTGAACAATTTGAGTAGATAGGAAAGCTGGCCACCTGTCAACGGGCTGTCTTTTTCTCCATAATCTGCCAGAGATTATTATGACAGGAATGTGAGTTTAGAATGGAAACTTCCCCAGGAGGTTTTTTTCCTCCTTTATCACAACAGCTGTCTCTTGACAGCCCCTCTGTGTGAGACCCTATTTTCTCTTCAGCACTGTAGGTTTACAGTAGAGATGTGAATAGCAACATGCCAAGTTTTTTAGACCCAAATTGTGTCTGTTCTGACTAGTTTCAAACTGCAATCTTATTTCCAAGCGACCATAACATGGATGAAAATGCAATCCTAGCCCTGACTGTTTGGGTTTCCCAGGGTTTATGCAGCTATGGCAGATACCTTTGCCATCTCCTTTTCTTTCTGTTCTCTTGTGTTGACAATATAGTTGGGCCATGTGTGCGCATCCCCAGTGGGAGCTGACATGTGTAGCCCAAGCATGGCTGAGATGATACATGTTGCTCTGGATGTGGGAGGGATGTGGAAAAATTGGGTTGAGAGACATATGATGAGGGTTTCCTTTTGAGCACAATCTGTACAACTATGTGTGAAACTGGTAGTGTTTCTCTCTGAAGGTTGACAGTGGGCTAGAGTTAGGCAAGGTTCTTGCATGTGCCAGAAAGAGGTTCTAGTCAATTAGGCCTTGACTTAGCAGCTGCTAGAAATTGGTTTTGGAAAATGGTCTGGCTTAGTGTTCTGGTCCTTATGGTGTGTATGCCCATAAAATTGTCTGATGTCCTCACCAAGTGTTGAGACCTTGCAACTGAGTAAAACAGTAGTTTTGATAGGCCATTTAGGAAATATACAGTTACAGTAGGTAGTTAAATTGGGGTATTGCACACGGTAGAACAGAATAGAAGTCAAGCATTGAACATCAGGGGATGTGTGTGTAGTTTAAAATCTTATTTAAGCTCTCCCAAAAGTTTTCATTTTCAAAGAAACTTGCAAACAGAAGATTGAGTGTTTCTCCAAGCATGCCCTTAAAGTGGAACTTGACACTAGTGTAGCAGAGATTTTTACTGAATGAGGGAGTAGTGGGTAGGGAAATATGCCCATTGTGGGGGCACAGTGGCACTGAGTTGGGAGAAGAAAAGAGAAATGTTGCTAGCTGGTGGGGCAGAAGGTCAACAAAGGTTATTCTAGTGGTCTAGAGGTATTGTACAGTGGTGTCTCACAGCACGGCTGCATTTCTCTTGTCTGTTTCTCCTTTTCTTCATCTTTCTCTCTGTCTCTCTCCAACACACTCTCCCTCCATCACAGCAACCGGACGTCCCGGTGCCTTGGGTAGAAACAGGTGCCTTGGTCGGCCAGATTAGGTGTGCACTAGCCAAATAGCCAAGTTCCAAAACTCTCTCAGCCTATGCTCCCTTCCCTCCCTCACCCTCATCCATTCAGCTGAAGGGTTTGAACCTCTCCTTCTTTCTGCTGCGGCAGTGATGGGCACCTTCTCTCTCCCTCCGCTTCAGAGTCTCATTGGGGTGTTTCTCTCCCTGCAGCATTCCCTCACCATCCTGGGTCAGAAAGTCTCCATGCACTATAGTGACCCTAAACCCAAGATCAACGAGGACTGGCTCTGCAGCAAGGTATCTGCTTTGAATCAGTAGGTAGAGGTATTCAATCATGGGGTACTCAGAGCTGTGGGTCTGGACTGCTGTGTGAAGGATGTAGTGCCGCTGAGGGGACAAGATTGGAGGGCTCAGCGATGGCCTGGTGGTGTACTCAGAACAATGACTGTGACTTTTTTCCAGTTGCAGGGGGTAAATGTTGAGTGTTAATCAAAGGCAGAAGCAAGTACGCCCAGCTTCTGTAATCAGACTCGAGATACGTTCAGTCCTCTTGCTTATCTTGAATAGTTTTGTTTCTAAAATAAGGATTAAAATGTGTTTTTTTTTTTGCTAAACGTTTTTCTAAAATAAGGATTGCAAATTTTTTGTCAAAGATTGCAGCACTAACAAGAAAATAAAAGGCACAGAGAAATCTAGGAAGTTTGACTTTAGGAGCAGAGACTGAGGCATAATAGGACAAAAGGACAATCTTCTGGGATTATACTGAATATTTTTCAATGCTTTTCCATCACAACCATCAGGACAAGAATTTAAACCATGCACTTAAGGGATAGTACCAGCAGGTACAGGTGGCTCTCATTCAGAGGGATTCTGTTCAAGTGGAATATCTACAAATAACAAAGGCGTGAAAAGAACTACTTTACACATGCACAAAAGCTTGTTTGCTGTTTTCAACAAGCATAAAATAACACAGAAATGTGGCAAAAACTGGGATATGAGAGAGAATACATCATGGACCCCAAACTCAGGATGTGTATTTTCCAACTATGAGTATGTGAAACCATGTACCAAGACCTTGGATAATGAGAGCCAACTGTATTTGTGATTTTGCAGTAAGGAGCACCTTTTAAAAGAGTGGGCCAAGAGTTACATTTATTTGAAAATAAAGATGAAGTCTATTTTTTTCTCAACAGTGTGGAGTTCAGAATTTCAAGCGCAGAGAGAAGTGCTTCAAGTGTGGCATTCCCAGATCTGGTAAGATTAATAGCCCAGCCCTTTTAGCTCTGTTTGTGCCTACAGAAACCACTCTAATTTTTTTTTGTTTTGTTTTGTTTTGTTACCCTCCACTTTGCAACAGAAGCTGAACAGAAGCTACCCCCTGGTGGTCGCTTAGATCAGCTAGTGGCATTATCAGGGCGAGAACTCAGCCAAGGCCTTCTGCCTCTCCCGCAGCCATACCAGGTGTCAGCAGCTCTGTCCACTCAGCCTGTGGCCCCCATGTCAGAACCATGTGCAGAGAATGCTAATGACAGTGAGTATATAGTTTGATATATAGCTACAATAAAGTTATTTAGGGTTTTTTATTATTTTTTAACCTGCCTTTATTATTACTATAAATAACTCAAGGCAGTGAACATACCTAATACTCCTTCCTCCTCCTGTTTTCCCCACAACAACAACCTTGTGAGGTGAGTTGGGCTGAGAGAAAGTGACTGGCCCAAAGTCACCCAGCCGGCTTTCATGCCGAAGGTGGGAATACAACTCAGTCTCCTGGTTTCTAGCCCAGTGCCTTAACCACTAGACCAAATTGGCTCTCATGCTGTCTTCTTGTTGTTCCCCCATGAAACTATTAATCGTTATAGATGAGAGCGTTGAGATTTATTAATTAGGTTTCCTCACTGATTTACTAACTTAGGTTCTATATCATTTTAGATAGTTGAATTTTTGTGTGCAGACTTAGGAGTATGTTGGCAGGCCCGACTTGGCTGTAAAATGGAAATTGGCTGGTTTAATCAGTCTAGCTTTTAAATGTAATTCCTAGCTCTAGAGAGTGCAGATTGGTAAGCTTGATTGGCAACTAGGGAGAAATGTGCTAATAAGTAGATATTTTATAGTAGGTTTCAAAATCTTATACTGAAGAAAATGCCTGCAAAAGTAGATTCATTGGAATGACTTGTGTCAGCTGTTTTTGAAAGTAATCTGATAGTGGGCTTGGAATAGTGGAAGGCTGCTTGTTGCTACTTGTCAATAGTTTGAAACAGATAATTGAGAACTTACAGAAAAGTGGAGACAAAAAATACAGACTGAGGGTTTGCAGAGTGAAGACAGTTTATGAAAACTATGGAGAAGTATGTGACTGCAGTGAGCTGAATATACATACACTTCAAATATATATAACAGTGGTATACTTCATCACTGTTGCCTTCTTTTTCTTCTCTTCTTCTGTTGAGGAACAATACACCACAGCTTGTTATTTGATAAGAGATTTTTTTCGCCTCCAACAGGGGCAGAAGACAGTTGCAGTAGCAATAAGAAAACTGAGTAGGGAAAGAAATTCTCTGTAACTGAATACTTATCTGCCCTGCCACTATTTCATCCTGTTGCTGAGAAAGGAGACATCTCACAGTCAAGTATCTGAAATGCAGAAAGGGTGTCCTTTTGACTTGAACAACTGGTTGGAAAGCTGCTTGTTGCCCATCAGAAGCTATGAGCAAAGTGAAGCAGCCAGCCAGTAACGGCACCATATATCATAATTCAAACTGTAGATCTGTACACAAACTGTGTAGATACATACAAAGGATAGCAGAGAGAGTGTTCACAGTGTCATGTAAGCCTTTTAATACAGGTCTAGTTTGTCATCTTCCTGTGTTCAGCAGAAAATGATGTGGAATTAGGTTTCTTTTATAGCCATAAGGACCAGAGTTCTGGGAGTCAGGTGGCATATACATTTAATTTATTAATTATTATTTAAAAAAAGGAAGCCAAAATGTCATGGACTTTTACTAATAGTACTTTCTTAGCTGTGCAGAGTTTTAAATCCTTTCAGATGAAAATTCAAACGTACTTGAAAGAGTCTATAGTTCCAACTACCATGCTGTTTCTTATTCTGCCAGCCATTATCTTGCGAAACCTGAATCCGCATAGCACAATGGACTCCATCTTAAGTGCCTTGGCGCCATATGCAGTTCTCTCCTCATCGAATGTCCGTGTCATTAAAGACAAGCAGACACAGCTCAATCGTGGTTTTGCTTTCATTCAGCTCTCCACTATTGTGGTGAGTGCAACAAATAGCACACGTGGCAATTCAATATTGCTTTAGAGGTTGGTCATGGGAATGACGGGCTTTAGGAAGGTAATCTAACAGCTTAGAAGAAAGAGCTTAATGGAACTTTTAGCCTGAGGAAGGCCAAGGAGAAGCTTTAGAGGATCTTATGGGCTCAAGGCATCATTTCCCTCCCTTCTACTAACTACAGCTAAAAACTTAAGGGGAAGAAAACAGAAAAGGGCACAAAGGTAATATAGATTAAATTATCTCAGCGTCTGGTTTTGCAGTTTGTATACTTCGTGGGGAAGTAAGCATACTAATACATTCCTTTTAATAATTTAATACTGGGGAGCAAAACACAACCTTTGTGCATCCTTGGAGCACAATCCAAAACCTTTTGTGCATCGAGTCCATGTATTATTTTTGCTATAGAATTATCTGTAGTACAAATTGGAGAATGTAGGTGGGGATTAATAGATTCTGTTCATCTCTAACTGTGCACCCTCAAGGACACTTAATGAAATTGCTAAAGACTAAATGCCAGTAGGATTCATGCTTCTCTAGGTAGATGGAAAACAACTCTGTAAGATAGGCTGGACTGAGATGGAGGGATCAAAGCTACCTAGTGATCCTCTGTGGTTGAGTGGGAAGTTGAATTTGCGTATTCCTGATTCATCACCTTAACACACTTAGTACCACACTAAGCAAACAGTATCACTTTGTCTTTCTGAGGGTTTAATTTCTTGTCCTTTTCTCTCTCAGGAGGCAGCTCAGTTGCTGCAGATCCTTCAGGCTTTGCATCCACCACTAAACATTGATGGCAAGACAATTAACGTGGAATTTGCAAAAGGTTCCAAACGGTGGGTAACAAGTCCTTTGCCTAGAATTGGGCCTTCTGTTTGTGTAGGAACACTACCGTCGTTGGGAGTTTGGGGTGGGTACAAGTTGAATAAAATAAAATTTAAACATTCTTTATCCCTTCGCAGGGACCTAAGTTCATCTGATGGAAACCGCATCAGTGCTGCTTCGGTAGCCAGCACTGCCATTGCAGCTGCACAGTGGGCTATCTCACAGGTAAAACTGATGGAGGGAAGAGAAGGGTAAGAAGATTGAATTGGTTTTGGACACAGGGGAGGGGCGGACTTCTTCTTTCCCCTCCTCAAACTTATTCTAGACAATCTTCTGACTTGTTAGAGCGCTTCTGGACAGAAGGGGGCTAAAGAAATCAGCAAATATGTAAGTGTATCCTGTACAGCAGCAGAAATGCTTTTTTACTCATGTGGTGATATACAGTGAATTACTGCCACTGATATGGTTTTTTTTTCTTTGTTTCGGAACATGCTAAGAAATATATTTAACGTTATAAAGCATAGTGCTGTAAAATAATTATTTTTTTAAAAAAGAAGAAAACATCTAAGTCTAACAGTTTGAATCTCTTTTATTTCTGTGTGGGAAAGAAGTGTAATTACTGCCCTGCCTTAGTAACAGATTTCCTCTTACTTGGTCTTCCCAATAGGCATCGCAGGGTCGTGAGGCCTCCTGGGCTACTCAAGATGAGCAGTCTGTAGATTATGGCTACTACCAGCATGATGAACCCTACGGTGCTCAAGAGGCCACAGTGTACTCACAGGGATACCTGAAAGGATCCCAGTCTCAGTCTGGCACCTCTGGGACAGCAGCTGTTGGGAAGGCAGACAAGATCCAGGGGGAGGGATCAGTGGCAGGTAAGCTTCTCTGCCTCCACTTTCTTTCTTACTGGTAGGATGTTTTGTACCTCCTGACTGACTGGCTCCTTTGCCTCCCTGCCTCTTCTCTCATGAAATAGCTGAGGCGTCACAGGAGCCTGGTGTGCCAGGTATTGATCCAATGCCTGTCCTACCAACTTTCCCTCGTACTACCCAGAACACAGCTGTGCCGGCCACGTATCAGACAACTGGAAGCTCTGAAGGAGCAAGCCCAGCCCAAGGAAATGCTGCCATTGCTCAGGTACAATTGGGGTGATTCGGGGCACATATTAAAGGTTTTATGCTCTGTGCATCTGCTGATCCACTCTCCCCTCCCCCCATTTTCCCTGTTCTCAGTCATATACCATAGTCTCACCAGCTGTGTTGAAGCCTGATGTGCCTAATGCTGCCCAGCCCTCCGGTACAACTCCCAGCATGTCCACCAGCACTTCCAATTTGCCTACCAGCTCTGCTGGACAGGAACCTTACACACAGTACCGTGAGTAGTGGAGGGAGGAAGGATTGTTATACATTCAGATCTTCTTGGGAACAGGGAGCCAGTTAGGAGTGGAGAGCAGACCTAGATTGCCAGCTTTCCTAGGCTGTGTTGCTGCTCCTGCTCACTGCGTTCTCTCTTTCTGGCCGCTAGCTGTCCCAGATGTCTCCACATATCAGTATGATGAAAGCTCTGGCTACTATTATGATCCTCTGACTGGCCTCTACTATGACCCTAATTCCCAGGTGAGTTGCCTGTCTTTGGGCAGACTTTGTTACTTTCTGCATATGGCAAAAAGATGAGAATAATGAGCTGAAAGGCAGGCTCATTTTGTCATACTACGATAGCTGGTCCTAGCAGGTGGGTGACTTAGCTCTCAACTTTCATGATGTGCTGCAGTATCAAAAGACGTGCTGTGTCAATGTTTCTTCCCAGTATTACTACAATGCTCAGACGCAGCAGTATCTGTACTGGGAAAGTGAGAGGTGCACTTACGTCCCAGCCTCAGACCAAGCGTCTGACGGCCACAAGGATAGTGGCAGCTCAGGCGGTGGCAGCAGCAAAGAGGGAAAAGAGAAGAAGGAGAAGCATAAGACAAAAACGGCCCAGCAGGTGAGAACCACCCTTTTTTCTCATGCTGCTTTCCTTTCTCTACCTTTGAATTCTACGTGCTTCTCACCTGAAGATCTTGCTTGCATGGTTATAGTTCTGTCTTGGACTAGTTAGAAGCCTCTGCCTCCCTCAAAGGATATTCCTCTTTAGACTTAGCAGCTAAGGAACAGTTGCACAGGGAAGGCTTCACACTTCCCTTCACACATAAAGGTTTTTTTTTTTTTTTTTTAAACAGAAAAAAATATTCCACAGCCCCATGACTAGAAACTGTAGCAAGCCATCTCATACCGGAAGAGTATTTCCCTCTCGTGGGGAGAGGGAAAGAAGGCAGTTCGGTCTGGAGCCCTTTTGATAGAAACGTAGCCCTCTTTCAGTCTTGTTAACATTCCTGCTCTTTTGAAGGTAGTATATCTTCTCAATGTGAAATGAGGGCTCATTCCTCCTTGTTTTTTCCTGTTCCCCTGTGCCTTTCCTTCTTCTTTATGGGCTGACCTCCAGATTGCAAAGGATATGGAACGCTGGGCCCGCAGCCTCAATAAACAGAAGGAGAACTTCAAAAACAGCTTTCAGCCAGTCTCCTCCATACGAGAGGATGAAAGGCGGGAATCGGCCACAGCTGATGCTGGCTATGCTATCCTTGAGAAGAAGGTAAAATTCGTGGGGAGCTCACCATTAAACCAGGAATATATCTGTAGCTAATTTTTAACAATTTAAACAATTCTGATAATTACTAAAGGTATGAATACAGGTTCATTAGGATTCCTTAACTATTAAATAAATATATTGGATATTATTTCAGTATTAAAGTACATATATTGTTCAATTGCTGTTGCAATGTGGTATTTTGTACACTTTTTAAAAATACAGTCATGCAGAGATAGAGGAGGAGTGGTTATAATTACTTGAATTTGTGTTCATTATTATGCAAGGTCCTGAATGGCCTCCTTGTGTAACTTGATGGACTGTTTTGACTGTTGAGCAGAAAAAAAAAAGTACTTTCATGTGGAAAAATAGTACTTTCAACACTTCCCGGTTTTATTCTGTGTGTTCTTAGGGGGCACTGGCTGAGAGGCAGCATAGTGGCATGGACTTGTCCAAGCTTACTGGTGATGACAGACTGGTAAGCCTTTCCTCTTGACTTTCTCTGCTACTTAAACTTTCTGGATTTGCACTCTGAATGTCCAGAAGAATGGGTAAGGGTGCAGAGGTTCTACAAAACCTGCTTGTGAGTCCTCTCACAGATGGGAGAATATCTGATATGTTGAGGTATAAAATAAGAGATAATCACAGTGTTTACATATCGTGGGAAGTCTTGAACACAAGAGCTTCCAGCGCTGAAAGCTGTTTCTAAGATAATCCCGAACAGTGGGGATTATGGGAGTTAACCTACCCAGGGAACACTAAATTGAAGAAGGTTGTACTGGATTATGGTAATAGTTCTGATTCTGGCATGTAACTCTCCCCACTTGCAGAGTCCACCACGAGGCTTAGTAGCCGCATACAGTGGTGAAAGCGACAGTGAGGAGGAGCAAGAGAAGGCAGCTGATCGGGAGGAGAAATTAACTGATTGGCACAAACTGGCTTGCCTGCTTTGTCGCAGACAGTTTCCCAGCAAGGAGGCACTTATTCGTCACCAACAGCTCTCGGGGTTACATAAGGTATGCAGCTGATAAGAGTGTATCATTTTCACTACAATCAACAATAGCAACCAACTGGATCCCTTGGGTTAGAGAGGCCATGGAGGCATTTTGTGATGATTCTAGTTCTTCCCAGGCAGAGCTTTAATACTTTGACCATGCAAGATCCAGCTAAATGCCTCTGTTCCTCAGCAGCTATAGGAAATGAATGGCAGATCAGCCAGATTTTGGAGATTCTGTACTGTCCATAAATTGATAGAAAACAAGTTTGTTCTTGTCAACATGTCGTGCAGAGATTGTGGTTGATTTGAATTAGTATTATCATTTATTTATGGTCTAAGACCAAACATAAAAGCAAAGTACAACAAATATAGTAAATAAAAGAACAAATACAATTAGATTAAAAACCTGAAACAGTTAATAATGTGAAGGAGGCGCCAGGTGGTTTATAAGAGTCATGGCTATCAATAAGAATTTTGCAACTTTCTTAAAGGTTTCTGGGAATTGATCAAATAGGAGAGCTGTAATTTCATAATCGCAGGAGCAAATGAAATTACTGACAATGGAAGCTAGGAGTTTTGATCACCATTGGGTATATAACAGGCATTTTAATAACACATGTGATATAGATTCAACCTCTGTATCTGAGCACAAGCAAGTGTGGCTTTCATATGGAAGGTTAGTGTATCTGCTGGTTGTTGTCCTGATGGGTAGTATCCCAGTTTGTGCCAGAGTAAGTCTCCAGTAAGAAACATGTAAGATGTTAAAAAAATATCTAGAGATTGCCCAAGGGGGGCGGGGGGGGCAATTATGTTGTAGAAAAGATGGGAAACACTGGTTCTGTCAATTTGAATATCTAAATCCCAAATCCTCTGCTTCAGTTCAGCCAGTTTTATCCCAGCCAAGGGCAGAAAATGTTAGTGAGGAAAGCCAAATCATTGTTATTCTGGCTTCTTAGGGTACAGCCAAACCTGTCCAGCAAGGGGAGATGGGCCAGGAAAGTTCCCCAAAAGGTTTGCTTCAGGTAGAATTTTGAGTCGGCAGTCTTAATTAATAGGAAGTTCAATCCAGATAAAACAGTAGTAGTTATATCAGGATGGTTTATTCAGAAATGCAGTTTGTTTTGGTTAAGTTGTATTCCTCTGGAAGGATCAAATACTGCAAGTTTAGATGTGCTGCTGAATCTGACTTTGCTCCTGAATACATCTGGCAGCTTTGCCTAGCGTGCTTTTGCCCAGTTTGTAGGTGCACTAACTGCAGTGGTTCCTGGAGAAAGCAGACTTGGATTTCTTGGTAATGAATGCCTCAGTTTGATTGATGGATGGATTAGATAGCAGAGACAGAAGAAACTGAAAAGGGGCCAAATGAGTGCACAGAAAAGGCATGTAATTTGCTTAAGTTGCTCCTAAATTAAAATAGAATTCCCTGTAGTCTTTGGTATTGCTTCATTGGGGGAAATTTTCCAAATGGAGCTTACAGTGATTAAATGTTACTTTATATTCAGTATTTGGCAAGAGAGGCTAGGTCTAAGTGAAATTTGGTACCAAGCTTAGTTCAAATTGCCGTTGAACCAAAGTCTGGATGCGAATAATTGAAGGTTTCTGCTCTTGCCCCTGAAGCGGTATATGAGCTCAGATTTGCCTAGGGAATGATGGTGGATCTCTGCATGCTCCATCAGGAGGGAGACTTGTAGGGCTGCATAGAAAGCATTCTTTGCTGAGTTTGGATCCCTGTTTAGTAGGGTTTAGATGCAGTCTGAAAATATTTACTCCAGCAGACCCTACACCTATATAGTTTTTTATGCCTATATATTTTTAATTTGCTGTTGCATTTATTTTCATGATGTTTATTGCCTTTAGCGCTTCCGGAATGAAATATTAAGCTGCAATATAAATGTAATAAAATAAACATTTATTTATATAGCCACCCATCTCACATAAAGTGACTCTGCTAATATAAAAATGGTTGCATGTGCTTAGGAGCAACGTGGATCTCCAGAATGTGTTTTGATTCCACCTCCACCCCCTCATCTTTCTATTCTTTTCTCTCATGCAGCAAAATTTGGAGATTCACCGACGGGCACATTTGTCAGAGCAAGAGCTTGAGGCACTTGAAAAGAATGACATGGAGGTATGATGGTTAGGACAGCTAATGGGGGGCACCAGAAGTGAATGTGTTACGTGGGAAGCATCTCATCACCTAACACTGTCCCTTCATCACTGTCGTCAGATGAAGTATCGAGATCGTGCGGCTGAGCGACGGGAAAAATATGGTGTTCCTGAGCCACCAGAACCCAAGAAGAGAAAGTATTCAGCTGTGACCCCAGCCACTGTGTAAGTTTTACACTACGTGTGACAGCAACGTTTCGCTTTTAGAAGAGGCTGCTTTTCTTAGCAAAGAGAAAAATTGTCCTTTGCCTCAGTCACATTAGAAATGTATCCTTTGTCTCATTGCATTGGGTTGTTTGATCTTGATTGGCAGGAGAGAGAGCAGAGCTGTCTTAACTGTTTACTTCACCCCCTCCCCGCTTTGCAACAGGGATTTTGAACAACCAACACGAGATGGACTCGGAAGTGACAACATCGGCAGCCGCATGCTACAGGCCATGGGCTGGAAAGAGGGCAGCGGGTTGGGTCGCAAGAAACAGGGTATTGTAACCCCCATTGAGGTAACTTTTCAGATTGCTCTATTTGTAAAAAAATAAATTTTGTATTCGGAAGGGCATTCTCTCTCTCCAGTTGCTTTCTCTTAATATACTGGCTTTGCATAAAGGGAAACTCTTTGCGTCTTCTTGCACAGCATTCGAGCTTTGACAGATCTATTTATATGCATAGCTGCCTTGTGTTTCTTCTGTCCCAAATATAACACTGTCTGTAAAAAGGAAATTGCTATGATAGCTAGGAATTAAGACTGTTGGAAAAATAGAAGAAATTGGGAGCAAGAAGTGAACCATTTCCACAAGAAGAGAGTTGGTGGTGTGGTTGGGTGGCATTAATAAAATGATGACGGTCTAGAGAAAATATGGCATCTTACAACGTAGGGCAAAGATCTGTGATGAAGGGTTGATTTTTCCTTCTGTTACAATACATTATCTTATTTGGGAGGCTCAATGTGATTTTATTTTTCCTTCTCTCTTAGGCCCCAACTCGGGTACGTGGGTCTGGCCTTGGTGCACGTGGCAGCTCTTACGGGGCTGTAGCATCAGAGTCGTACCGGGAGGCATTGCACAAGACAATGCTCACTCGTTTCAATGAGTCAGACTGAGCTCTGTAAGGAGCACCTACCTGTACAGTATTTTGCTGCTGTCTCCTCTTACCCCCCACCATCCAACTTTCAGAATGTTCTTTTGGTTGACTTTTTTTTAATTAAATGTTCAAATGGACAAAAGAGGATTTTACATGGCTGAACCGTGCGGGAAAAGTATACTTGGTGCTCCTGTGACCATTAAGGATTTCCACTGCTTGTTATGTATAAATGTGGTACAGTAAACCCGAGGGTACAACTTTTCCACGTAGACTAGGTAAAAAGAGGCAGCAATTGTAGAGCTGATCCGGCTCTTGTTGTACTCTGTGTCCTTGAGGTTTTCATTTGAGATGCCAGTCTTGGCTTAGTGAAAACAAAACACAGAAAAGCTCTGTATCATCTCAACAGGCATCCCTTGGCCTTTCAGAGGGTCTGGTGTAGCCCTTCCACCAACTCTACATAATGAGGTTCTGAAAAGAGAGTGAGATAAGCAGAGGAAAACTGTATGCTGGTACTCACTGTCCTTTAAATGTGTATCGACAAGGAACCCCACCCTTGTCATCTGCCCCTTTCTCTCTTCCCCTAGCCCATATTTGTTGACTTTTACCATACATTGCTGACCTTGAGGAACACCTACCTTGATCAGGTTGAATGTAACTATGTCTGATTAGGAAATCCAGTGCTACCATTGCACAGTTGGGCTTGAAATCTGAAGATCCAATGGCCTCTCTCACCTGTGCCAAGAGGAAGATTTACAATTAACATATAAAATAGAAATGGCAGCTAGCGCTCCAATCTCTCGCCTAGGCCAAGATATCGCTACCTTAGGATGGAGTTAGTGAGAATGTGTGCTGAGGTAAGAAGTGTTCTCTGTCATTCAAGAAATAGGATGCCATGAATTCCAAATAATGTTAAAACCCAAGCATAATAAAGAGCTAGGAAACTAGAGGACAGTTGCAGTCCCACCATCTCTTGTTTGAAATATGCCTCAAAATGGTATAGGACTTGTAATGCTTCATCAGTTCTCACTGGCCTTTCCAGAGCCAGATTCATCATCAGAAATAAATGGGAGTCACAAAGATTACTGCTTGCTTGTGGGAGGCTCTGACAGCGCTATCTTTTATTGTTCCAAAAGGGCAATCTTTGTCAGTAAGCAAAATGGTACCCACAAACCTTATCAAGTGACCAAAGGTAGAATTCCTGCACTTCTCCATCTCCCACTTGGGGCATAAATTCTTCAGGCAGCTCCAGGTCAAATACAAACTGGCATTCGGGATAGATACCCCCATCTGATCCTTCATATGTGTAGCTGGGATGGGAGAAGACAAGGGAAAATAATTCAATAGCACCAGTGACTTGCACAGATAACATTCAGGTATGTTCTCATGTGGAGTAACACTGATCCAAGTTAGAGAGAGGAAGTGACTTCTTCCAGAGCAGCCAAAACCATCTTTATATCCTGCTTCCTGGATTCCTATGAAATCATGAGCGATGTTTAGAAATCATGAGCGTGTAAGATTTTTGGACCCATGCTGTGTGCTGTGTTTGGCTGTGGTATGGAAACTCTACATATTAACACTGCTTCTATACTTTGACATATTTGTTTTCACAATTCAGCTGGAATATGTAGTAAATGAGAAAATCACCGTAGAGCAGTTGAAGCTGAGAAATTACTGGTCAGGGATCATAGTTATTTTGTTATCCTACAACATCATCTTGCTTGAGTTTCTCTGCACTATACTAGAATATGAATAGCCGCCTTAAATACAGTACAACAGCACTGAACAAAGGGACTTATGACTGGCACCACACTGTTGGGGCTTTCTGGGGCGCAGCAGCTTTGTACCGTGCTGCTGGGCCAGGCTGGGCTTTGTGCAGCGCAAAGAGGCTTCCTGGCACCCTGCGGCTCTGAGGCTTTTTGCTGGGGCTGGGCTTTGTGCAGTGCAAAGAGGCTTCCTGTCCTGGCACACCACAATTCGGGCTTTTTACTGGGGCTGGGCTTTGCACAGCTCAAAGGAGCTCCCTGGTGTGCCACAGCTCTGGGGCTGCAAAAACTTGCAGCCCCAGAGCCACAGGGTGCCAAGAAGCCTCTGAGCTGCAGGGTATCCTATCCCCGGCCTTCCTGAGCTTGCATTGCACCGCAGTACCTCCGTCCCACAACTTGTGCACGGCCCGCACCAGGTCTCCCCCCCACACGGCACCCCTATGCTCCTTACCTGGAACTTCGACCTCTTCCCGCTTAACAACACATGCATCTTGGGGCTACAATAGCAACTGGGACTGCCCAGGATTGTCATCACTAAGTGATGCTGTCATGTGACATTGTGCTTTACGACTGCATCACTTAACAATGGAAATTCTGATCCCAATTGTGGTCGGAAGTCGTACCTGTATGCATACACACACAAATACGAATACCGCTACACTACAATGTGCCTTGGATTTAAAGAAGTTTCTGCATTACCTGATAGTTCCAACAGCTTTGGATAGTGTAGCAAGTGAAGCAGGAATGCAAGCCTCTTCTTGGCATTCTTTTATTAGTGTCTCTCTGATACCCAGCTCTGATGAAATGCCACCTGCAGCCTAGCAAAAAAAAAAAAAAAAAGTAAACTGCTATGGTTAACCATAACGGCTAGCAGTCAACATTACCCTAGTTTGGTATTCAAGAAGGACCTTTTCTGTCCATCAAACAGATGAATAATTTCTGAGTCCTAATCTCTCTTACCATAGCAGGTGGCAGACTAGAAAGCTTCAAGGCTTCTTTGGAGCTTTTATATGCCTTTAATCTGTAAGAAAAATGTTGGCAGCAGGAACTTCTCTATTCACGTTGTTAAGAAAAACAGTTCATGCTGAAATTATAATTTTGTATAATTAACAACGGCCTGTTTATATTTTGGGCATCCAATCCAGTACTGTGTCTGGCTTGCCCAAACTCATTTAGTCGAGCGATCTCTCTGACTCTATTGGACTTTTGTGAATTTTGACAGCTGTTAGCTAATCCCATTGTCAGACAAGAGATACTCTATTCATCATCCTATTTTGTCTCTTACCAAATTATCCAATAAGCCAGGATATGTGGGTTTGTTCAGGGCCCTACGAGCCAGCCACATGTGCATTTCACCATTTTGCCAAGTATACCCATTCAGATGGGCACCATAACGCTTTACTCCTAGTAGTGCTGGATCAAGAGAAAAATAAATCAGAAATGAATAGAAAGGAAGATTATTATCAAGGACAGCCCTTGCTTTTTCCTCCTGCTGCCTAAACCACACACCTAGTTTTGCACCACATGTTCTGATTTTGTAAGTAATTTCATCTGCTTAAGCCTGCATAATGTGTTTACTGTTAAGTTTTAAAAGACTACATAAGTTGGGAAGTGTTGACAAGAAAGTAGGATATGAAAGGAATGGCAGGAATAATCCATGAGCACAACAATTCCTTAAGATTCACAATGCAGTATTTGAAGAATTCTTACGCAAGTTCAGAGCTTGCTTTATTTCTCTGGAGCTACTGGAATTGATCCAGGATTGGTGATCCTTTAAAAATATCTAAATATTGAAGTCCCAAATTTTCAGTAATCAGAATTTTACACTCAAGATACTTCACTGTTGTTAATTCCAATGCAGAACATAAATTGTTACTATCTCCACTGAAGTGATTTACCTGTGCTTAGCTTCATATAGACTGATATGACATCAGGCCCCATGGGAGTCTGACTCTTCTGATTAGCAAGTCATATGGAGGAGGAATGCTTAGCGTGAACAGAATTTTTTTTTTTTTAATAGCATAATATTGGTGAGGAAGAAATGTAATTTTTCATAGGAAAGGGAAATCAGTGTCTGCCTATATTGGCATGTTTTTTTTCCGTTGTGCAGTGATCTTGACGAGCTTTATTGTATTCATCCTAACAACAACTTGAAGGGATAGTGATCTACCCTTTACTTCCAAACTATGCCATCTGTTTTAAAATGCAATTATCAAATGTGTGGTCAAAGGCCTATGAAATTATATACTGGTATACAGGCAACAATATTGGAGCAAAATGTACTTGCAAGATTCATAGAAGGTTCATTCTTATTTTTGGTGTGGGAAAGAAGATGAAAATATTTCTCATTTTCTTTTAGAATAGAAGATGAATATACTTAAATAAATCCAGGTATATTTTATATACTTGCTCATCGACACTTTAATAATGAAAATAGTTTCTGAAACAAATGGCTTTTATTTAAACATTGTCAGTGTGCATATTTAAAAGAGTATCAGCAAGGAAGCCACATTTCTTCACTAAGGCGTTTATTATCTAAATTTCCTCAGTAGGTGAAATACTTTGGACTTTGGGCAAGGATGCCATAAAGTCTTTGGTTGACTTTATCGTATTGACTTTATCCCATGTCTCTGTAGTTTAACACACTTTTGTTAGATTTAAATCCCACATTTTGTACAGGAGCTCAAAGCAGCATACATAGTGCACCCACTTCCTATTTTTCCTCACAATAACAGCCCAATAAGGTAGGATGGACTGAGAAAAAGTGACTAGCCCAAAGGTGAGCTTCCATGACTAGGGGTGGACTAGAATTTGGGCCTCTCTGCCCCTAGTACAATACCTTAACTAATGTATCACCGTGGCTCTCTTTTCTAAAGATAATACATAATTTAAAAAATCACACGCAGTGGGAGGTATTAATTACTTTTCCACAAGTCATGTCTTACCTATACAGCAAAGTAGTGGCAAGATTTTTAAGTTTCAGACTCACGTGTTGCGGCACGCTCCATGCTGAAGAAAGGTGTGTCACAAAAATAGGGCATTACATTGTACATCTGAAACAAAGACACATTCTCCTTAGTGAATAACTCTGGTTTTGTTCCCCACTGGAGCCTGCCTTCTAAGCTGTTATTCAGGATAGAAACACTGGACTTTTCTCCCTTACATCTCTTACATAGTCAGAAATAGAAGACAGAAACTGATAGCAGGAACATGCACCCAAATCGAGTCCCTTTCTTTCTCTTGGTTGCTCCAAAACATCTCACCTCATTCCTCCATCCTTTTAAACAAGGAAAAGCTTGCTGTGCTTTCAGTTCCTTGAGCACCCTTTGTACAGCAGCTGTTCTTTGGCCATGAGACGTCAGTTGTTTGTTAAGCTCCAGCTGTGGAGGTGTTGCATCTCCCTGAGACACTGAGAAAACAGTTGGGTACTGATGGAGACACTTGGCTACAGCTGGTGGCACGTAGCCTACCTGTTGTCCATCAACCATAAAAGGCAAACACAGTGCCTTGGAAGAACCTGCAAAGAAATCAACCCAAATCAATCCTCTACAGCAGCAGAGAACTAGTTTCTACAAATAAGTCAAATGTGCCAAAGTGCTTCCTTGGAAAATGATCTGTGGGCAGTTATGTTCCTACAAGTTTAGTAAGTTCAATATTTCTAAAAATATTACAAAAAGAAATGGCATTTTTGAACACAGAGGCAATTACCACCCACTGTCAACATAATTTTCATCTAGAAATCATCACCACTTGGCACACTGTTTTAGTAAATCTTAAAATACAATCTGATGCATGTTGATGAAAGGCACACTGATTACAATGGGACATAGTTTCAAGTAAAAGTCTTTAGGATTGCTTCTGAACTTCTAGTAAACCTTGCTTTACCAAAGTACATTTTAATAAGGATTAGCCTTTGCAGAATCCAAGGTGTTTGTCCTCATTCCCTAACAATACTACTTTATAATTTATATAAATTACAGTAGTTTCACTCTTTTTTCTTCCCTTTAAGCAAAGGGACACCTACCTTGGGGGGCTAGCAACTGGAGATATATACTTTAGTTGTAGCCTTTGAGAGGAATTGTCAGCCAAAAGGAGATGTACAGAAAGTAACGGAACAGTTTTGTGGTAACAGAACTTACAGCAAAATCATGAGGAAGAAAAGAGCCATACAGTATTGCCTCAGACAAAATGCTTACATAGACCAACATTTTCTTCCTACAGAGACAGGTGGCCATATGAAGCCCACAAGCAGCATACAAACAACTAATATTGAAAAGCACTCTCTCATTATTGGTATGAATCTGCCATAGATAACTTTACTGATGGATTTGCCTAATTTCTTTTTCCAGCAATTCAGGTTGATGGCTATCATATTTTGAAGTAGGAAGCTAAAAAGCCCCAAACTGTTTTCCTGACAGGTGTCTTGAGCTTTCGCACTCTCTTTTCTATACTTTTCCAATACCTACAACTTCTTGAGGTGCAGTGATCAGAACCTTAACAAGGATATTCAGTGGGATCACTGGACACATTTGTGAAAAGTCATTCTCATGCTTCATTTTTGATCCATTTCCTGCTGATCCATTATATAGAACCTGCCTTTTCAAAGCAACTGCCATCATTCAGTTGATGTCTTCATCCAGCAATTCACTACAATGCCCAGTTTCTTTCTTGGGCAATCATCATCTCAGCTTCAATCAGAGTATGTGTGAAATTAAGCCTTTTGCCCCCCACTCCTCTTACATGACTTTCCTTAAACCACGGTTGCATTTGAGGTCAGTTTCCCGTTTGCAAGGAGCTTTTCACTGTCATTTTCTTAAAACAAAAAACCAACAATCTGATGGTTTCAGCAAACTGGTCCATCTCAGAGTTCGCCTTCATTCCTGATCGTTTAGGAAGGCGCTGGCAAGTGTGAATCGCAGTGCCTGCAAACGCTGTCTACTTACTCCCACTCTCGGCTTCCTGTACTGGAAATAATTAAGCCGTAAGAGGACGTTCCCTCTTCTCGGCTGTTGGCACGGAGGCCTTCGAAGAACGGACTGCCGTGCGCGATTTGCAAACTGAGGCAAAGCTAAGCAAGAGAGTGATTTAATTCCGTTTCTCCCACTCTTTGAAAGGAAGCAGCCGTTACCTTGGTTTGTCCCATTATCCGGGTCTCTCCCCGTAGTAAGTGGAAGGGCTGCAGGTAATGAAACGTGCCCCTATGACAGTGTTGTCCAAACTTGGCCACTTTAAGATGAGCGGACTTCAACTCCCAGAATGCCCCAGCC